CCCTTCCATGTACCATACTATCATCATTTTAAGGCTGGAAACCTTATTATTTTAGGTGGCTATGAAGGTTATTGGGTATATATTACATTGATTGATCAACTGTGGTTGATAAGAGATTCTAACCCACTTATAATTCTGTACATTTGTAGTGCAGTCGGTGTTGGCATCTAACCCAATTACAAATTGTGCCACCATTGTGCTGAGCAGCCTTAGTAGAGGAACAGATGGAGGAGAGGAGATGATGGGATGTCACCCTGAGAAGGGCTTCGACAGTGATAATTTAAAGGAATATGATTGATCCATAGTGGGTGGGTACTCAGTCCCTAACCCACAATCATCAAATATTCTGGAATGGAGTTTTGTGCTTCTCCACACCCAGGCATAAGTAACCTAGTCCACTAGGATCTATGTGGAATGATACAAATTTGCACAAGGTATACCCATCCACCTCAGTGGGTACATGGTCAAAGGGTTATGAATTAATCATTCTCAAGGGAAAAAATGCAAACTTCATAATCTGTGGCAAGAACTGATCAAAGTCTTTAGTGAGAGAAATGCAAAAGAAAAAAGCCTTGAGAAACAATATTATAGCCACAAAATTGTCAAAGACAGCTAAGAATAATAAAATTCAATGTTGGCAAGGATAGGGGAAAACAGGTACCTAATTACACTGCTGGGTAGAGTTGTGAATTGTATAATTTTGGGGAGAAGGATCTGGTGATATAAATAAATTACTAAAATGAATAAACCCTAGTGATTCCAATAATAATGATGATGATGATGATGATGATGATAATAATGATAACAGGAATTGGACTTTTAGTTTTATTACTATAGAAAACTCCTTCTACCAGTTCAGGTCAGCATCTTCTCTACAACTTAGAGTCTTTTTTTTTTTTTTTAGCTAGACAATGAGGTTAATAGTAAATGTTATGTGTCTGAGGCTGGATTTGAACTCAGGTCCTCCTGACTCCAGGGCCAGTGCTATAGCCACTGTGCCACCTACAATTTAGAGTCTTGAAGAGTCAACTAAAGAACCAAGAGGTTAAATGACTTGACCAGAGTCACAAAGAGTTGGTGTCAGAGATAGTACTTGAACCCAGGTGGTCTTTAATTGCCACATTGCCTCACAACAAAAATAGTAGCCGAAGTCATATAGTAAGTCAAGGTTTGCAAAGCACATTATGTGTGTGTGTGTGTGTGTGTGTGTGTGTGTGTGTGTATAAAATCTCATTTGATCTTCCTAACAACCTTGAAAGGTAGGTGCTAATATATTTTTTAATAAAAAAATCATTTTGGGGCAGCTAGGTGGCACAGTGGATAGAGCACCGGCCCTGAAGTCAGGAGGACCTGAGTTCAAATCAGGCCTCAGCCCAAACACTTAACACTTACTAGCTTTGTGACCCTGGGCAATATGATTGATCCATAGTGGATGGGTACTCAGTCCCTAGCCCACAATCATCAAATATTCTGGAATGGAGTTTTGTGCTTCTCCACACCCAGGCATAAGTAATCTAGTCTATATGGATCTATATGGAATGATACAAATTTGCACAAGGTATACCCATCCCCCTCAGTGGGTACATGGTCACTTAACCCCAATTGCCTAAAAATAAAAAAAAATCATTTTGTATAGTAATTAACAATTTTAGTAAGTACTTTCTCCACAACAACCCTGGGAAATAGGAGTACAAGTATTCTTATTCTTATTTTACAAATGAGGAAATAGAGCCTAGTTACATAGCTAGTAAATGTTCTTTTTCTCCTAAATGCATTACATTGCCTCAGTAATGTCACCTTACTTCTCAGGGCCTCAGTTTCTTCACCTGTAAAATGAGAGGGTTAGGAGATTCTTTAAGTGTCTCTTCTACCTCGAAATTCTATTTTATAGGTAAATTTGGGCTGAGGTTAAGTGATTTGCTCAGGATTACATGGCAGTGTCTAAGATGAGAGTTGAACTCAGGTCTTTCTGACTCTAAGTATAGTGCTCTTTTAGTATTATATTGCTGAAGATGCTATTGAAAAGGAATCTAGACTCCTGAATCCTGTTCTAACTGTACTGCTTATAAAGCCTTTGACAGTCATTTCAGCTCTCTGGGTCTCAGTTTTCTCACCTGTAAAATGGGAGAAGAGGTAGAATTTTGGCCCAAATGGTTTCCCAAATGGAAGCAAGCAACCTAGCTCCTAGCAAAAAACTAAATATTGTACCCAATAGAATAATGCTCAAGAAATCCACTGAGAATTAAGTGATTTCCTATACCCCAGAACTACAAGGGGAATCAACCAGAAGTCCATGGGCAATAAGAAAGAGCCCTGCCAGCAAGGCCAATGTTGGTAGGGGGAAACAAATGAACCGTTTCATATGACCAGAGCCAGGCCAGAGATATTTGTCATGTGCAAGGGTTTGTATGTGGTGGCAGTAAGAAGGGAAGGCTCCCTTGAGCAGCCCCAGGGTGGCTGAGAACACATGGGAGGGACCTTTGATGTGACACTTTGGGTACAGTAGCACTCAGACCAGGAGTCCCCTGTCCCGAGGGCTCCAAGGTCCTGAGCACTCTGACCTGAGATGCCATGAAGGGTCCAAACTCTGAACCTCAGAGATCCGGAGGGGCCTAATCTCAGGAGATAGAGGTTAGTGTGGGGGTCTGGGGGAACCCAAACAAGACTATAATGGTCCCCCCACCCACTGAAAGCCAAGGAAGACTTAGGTTTATCCCAAGTAAGGCTCTGAACTTTTCAGTGCCCCAACCAACTCTCTTAAATTATAAATTGCAGAACATATACCAATCTATATTGATAGGAGTTTCTTTACTGAGAGTTCCCCAGACCAGTTAAATCACCAATCCATATTTCCCCCTCACCTCCTAAAAAAGTTTTTACATGGGGGCAGCTAGGTGGTGCAGTGGATAAAGCACCAGCCCTGGAGTCAGGAGGACCTGAGTTCAAATCTGCCCTCAAACACATAACACTCACTAACTGTGTGACCCTGGTCAAGTCACTTAACCCTGATTGCCTCACTGAAAAAAAAAAAGTTTTTACATGGGATAATAGAGGTAGAGCAGTAAGAAACCTTGGATACCATCTAGTCCTACCCCTTCCTGCAGAGCAATTGAGGCCCAGAAAGATTGATTTGCCCAACATCACACAGGTAGTATGGATCAGAAACAGAATTTGAACCCAAGTCCTTTGCCTCTAGCACCTTACATGATTTCCACTGTCCCATACTGCTGTTTTTCTGAGCCATTTTTCTTTTCATATTTCTATCTATTCTCTAAGCTTTGCCATTTTATGGCTGAATCATATTCCACTGCATTGCTATGTATAGGCAATGTGAGGTGCCAGGATTAGAATGCTGGACTTGGATTTGGATAGGCAAGTTCAAATCTGTCTGTAATACCTACTAACTCTAGGACCCCAAGCAAGTTCTATAACCTCCAGAAGCCTCAGCCAGCTGTTTAGAAGGCATCTACTGAAAACAGCTGGCAGAAGCTTTGGTAAAAGGGATTCCCCAAGATGTCAGATTCATACATCCTTCATCTATTTTCATATACTGAAAAGTCATATTGGGCAGGACCTCCTATGGTGAGGACATTGTCAAGAATCACACAAGATCAATCAGTAAACATTAAGCACCTACTGTGTTCCAAGCTCTGTGCTAATCATCGGAGATACAAAAAGAAGCATAAGAAAGGCCCTGCCTTCAAGGAGCTTATAATCTAATGGGGGAGGGGAGAGACAACATACAGACAGATATATACAAAGCAAGCTATATACAGAATAAATAGAAGATAATTAATACAGGGAAGGCACTGGCAGTAAAAAGGGTTGGGGAAGGCTCCCTATAGGTAAGCACTAAAGGTACTACTCCATATACATAAACCTCTATTTAAAAGCAATGAAACAAAATAAATGTATAGATAGGAAAGGCATTAGAGGAGGATCTGCTCAAAGAAGATGTTATTGTTATTATTTTGTTAAATGTTGCATATTTCCCTCTTTTATCCAATTCCAGATCATTTTGAATTTATTATATTATATATAATCTTATTCCTCATTTTGTTTACTTGTTTTTTAAGGTTAAAATACATATTAAAAAAAAATTCATCAGGAGCAGCTAGGTGATACAGTGGATAGAGCACCCACCCTGGATTCAGGACGACCTGAATTCAAATCTGGCCTCAGACACTTGACACTTACTAGCTGTGTGACCCTGGGCAAGTCACTTCACCCTATTGCCTTGCAAAAAAAAAAGTCACCAGTGGGGTGATGTCAATGTACTGGTAGTCAAATCACTGGGGGCCCGGTTCAACTGTACCAGATACTAGTTGTGTGGTTTTTGTCAAGACTTCTCTGGGCCTCAGTTCCCTCCTGTCAAATGAGGTGATTAGACTAATTAAAGTTTAAGATTCCATCTAGAGGCTTTCTACAAACACATTACATTAAACATGCTTATACACGTACAAGCGACAGGACATATACGGCCTCTGCCACTACCTGGGTGATCTTGAACAAATCACCTAATGTCCCTGGGCCTCAGTTTCCTCAACTGTAAAAATAAGGGTGTTGGACTTGATGGCTTCCATATTTCCTTCTAGTTCTAATATTTTGAGTCTAAATCTGGAAAGGGAAAAAAAGGGAAAATTTTCTAGGAAAGCAGGAAAACACAGAAGCTACAGAGGAATTTTAGCTAACTAAAGAATTGGAATTCAACCAATCAGTAAACACCTATTAAATGCTTACTATGTGCCAGGCACATAGCTTAGCACACTAAGACCTGGGGATACAAAAAAAAGACGCAAAAGATAGTCCCTGCCCTCGAGGAGTTTACTATATGATGGACTGAAGAAAAGTGTGAAGAAAACTTCCAATGGTTAATAGAACCATGTTTTATCTAAATGGAAGATGAAAGTGGCGGGAGATATGAGAGTAGGAGGAAATCCATTTAAACCGACACCTTTTATCTGGGTGGGGAAACCTTTTTCTTGAGCAATCTTTTACAAATGCGTCATTTCATTTCTATCCCTGACTTCCTGCTTGTTGTTGTCTTCCCAGAAGAAAAAGTACAAGAAGATGATGTGAAAGAGATGCCTCAGTCTACTTCGGAAAGTGCATCCGTCTCAGTGACATCAGACGCTTCTGGACTGGGGACATCAGAGAATGTGGCTTTGAACACAGAGGAACCTCCAGACACGGTAGAAAGCATGTTTCCATGGAGGGACAATTTCTTTGAAAAAATTGAGGAAAGATCCATGGCCATGCAGGATACCGTAATCAATAAGTTTCTCCTGCAAAAGGAACTAGACAAAAAGATGGATAAAAAGTTCCCTTTGGATGACTTGGCCAATGAATGGTTAAATGATGACAAAAGGACATTGGATACTCAAGTCTATTTACTTGAAAAGCTGTTGCCTACACTGATGCCAGGAGTTGAAAAAATGTTAATGGAAGTGGAAAAGAGGAAGCTTTTGGGATTGAATAGGAGGACCAATTTTAATCCGATTAATTATCTGGGGGAATACCTGATGAGACATAACCCCAAATATCGAAAAGAATTACCAGAATCTGGTTATCTGAAAGCAATGAAGAATGTCGTGAAGGAGATGAAAACCCAAATTCCTGACACTCCTTTCAATAGGTGAGTTTTGGCATGTTTTCTAGGATGGTTGATTGCCTTCTGCCAAAAAAAAAAACCCAAAAAACAAAAAACAAAAACCGGGAAGGTGGGAATTATCTAAGTCAAACGTGCTGATTAGCATATTCCTAAATAGCCCACAGCCTGAAAGAAATGATTCTTTATTGATTTGCTAAGAATGATTTTGATGGCATAGAATGATGGAAAGATATTTGGCTTTGGAATCCTGTTCCCACTCCCTGCTTTCTGTGTGAGCTTGAGTAGTTAAGTCTGTTTCTCATCTATAAAGGGAGGGGCTTCTTTGCCTGATATAGTCTATGTGCCCAGCACTGAAGAACATAGCAGCTTATGCTTATACAGCACTTTATGGCTATAGAGCACTTGCTATTATCTCAATTACTTAGTTCTTCACGATAATCTTTTGAGGTCTCAGGATCATAGATTTAGGGTTTGAGGGATACTTTGATGCCATCCAGTCCAAATCCCTCATTTTACAGATGAAGAAACTGAGCCCCATCGAGTTTAAGGGACTTGCCCAAGGTCACAAGATCCTCAGACTCCAAATTCATCATTCAATAATGCAAGGATTATTATCCCCATTATACAGATAGAAAAGCTGAGGTTCACAGAGGTTAGATGACTTCACTAAGGTCACATAGTTAAATATTAGAGTCAAGACTTGAACCCATGTTTTATGATTCCCTGTTCTGCTATATTTATTTCCTCTCTAGAATACAGATAAATATAAAATGTTTTCTATGCCCTCAAGGAGCATATCTTGTCAGAGAGACAAGATTTACACACATAAAACAGCATAATAACAATTCAATTCAATAAACATTTATCACATGCCTCACATGCCAACATTCTGCTAGGCCCTAAATGAAACTGTCCTTATCCTTAAGGAACTTACATCCTACTGGGGGAGACAGGAGGGAAAGGAACATGACACATGCACAGATAGGGACAATACAAGCGAGCCAAGGAGAGATGTGACCAGGGCTCTGGGAATATTTGAAAAGGTAGAGAGCATAGCAGGGCAGCTAGGTGACACCATAGTGCACAGAGCCCTGGGCCTGGAGTCAGGAGGACTTGAGTTCAAATGTGACCTCAGATACTTCCTAGCTATGTGACCCTGGGCAAGTCATTTCATCCCATTTGCCTCAGTTTCCTTATCTGTAAAATGAGCTAGAGAAGGAAATGGCAAACCATTCCAGTATCTCTGTGTGTATAGTAATTATGTGTATGTAATAATTATAATAATAATAGGGATAACAAAACTAATTTAACACTTATATAGTACTTATCCCCATTTTCCTGATTAAGAAACTGAGCCAAACAGAGGTTAAATGACTTGCCCAAGTTCACACAGTGTCTGAGACCTGATTTGATCTCAGGTCTCCCTAGTTCCAGGCCCAGAACTGTACCTATGGTGCAACCTAAACTAGGCCCATAACTAGAGCTTGACTATCAAGCCTGACTCGCAGCTTGTTGTTTAGCCTTCCAAACTACTCTGACTTAATTCACAGATGGCAAGACACCTAACCTGCTACCTGTCAGGAACAGAATCATTGAAGAGATGAGATATAAGCCAGGGTGATCAAGATTTGGATAGTAGGAATGGAGGGAGGGAAAAGGGCTTTTCAGATAGGGGGAACAGAAGGAGCAAACAGATGCATATGAGATTAAACATGGAGTTTTCATGGAACAGTGAAGAAATTGGCCTACTTCGAATAGAATTTTTTTGTTGCATCTGTTTTGGAGATATGAGGATATCTAACTAGGTAAGAGACAAATTATGGAGGGCTTCGAACACTAGTCTGAGAAATGTGGTCTTTAACCCATAGATGATGGAGACAGCTGGTACAGTGGAAAGAAAACTGATTTTGGACTCATAGGAATCAGAAAGCTATGTTCAAATCTCACCTTGAAATTCACTCCTTACGTAACCACAGACAAACCTCCGAACCTCCGGGAGCCTCAGTTTACCTATCTATGAAATGACAGGGTTGCGCTAGACAATCACTGAGTTGCTTCCAGCTCTAGATTTGATCCTATGACTTTTGAGCAGCAGAATTGCGCAGTGAACATGGCATTTTAGAAAAATTTAATTTGATAGCATTGAATGAGAATAAGACCGGATAATCAGAGCATGTCCCTTCCCTGAGACTCAGTTTCTTCTTGGACTACATCACTAAAATTCCTTTCAACTCTAAAAAAAAAAAACCAAGCAAAAATCTAGGACTCCTAATGTACCACCGACCTTCCCTCTGGACAGCAGCTTCTGATACAGCTGGGCCCCAATCAGTGTAAATGATGAGTCCTCTCCAATAGCTGCGTGTATTAGAATTCACACTACCTAAAGTCACGATTATGCAAAATAACTCCAACGGAAAATGCGACGTGAGTCCAAATAATGTGAACTATTTTAAAGCTAGCTGCATTCAACCCATTCCCAAAGGTGACCCACAAGGGCCCCTTTTGTACTTTAACCCTGGATTCCTTTCTGTTGGGCAAACCAAGCTATTTGGAAACTTCAACACAACGCTTCCCATGGGACTGGATCATAGGATCATTGACCTGGCAGAGACCCTAAAGGCCATCAAGTTCAGCCCTCTCATTTTAAAGATGGGTTGGCTGAAGCCCATAAATCAAGTGACTTATCCAAGGTGACACAAAGAGCAAATGAAAGAGGCAGTTCCAAACCACCCAGACCCTCTGACCCTATGGACCATGCTTTCTCTACTCTACCACATTGCCTTTTGTGAGGCACACCTCCCTGTGCTGTCAAGTCAGAGCTAACCTCGCACGTTGGTTGTAGGTGAGAACTCAGAACTTTTATTCTTAGCTAGAGACCAAATCTTGGGAGTTTTAATACTGTTGAGTAGTGCCAGCAACATGCAGGGAGCTGTATCATCAAATTTAATAAGTAACTTGAAGAACATTTTCTCTTACCATCTGTTCTTCTGGAGTAATGAATTAGATTTATACTTAGTCCCATTTGCATAAATAACACCTACAATTTAAGAACTGGTTTCATGAATTTAAATCAATATGTTGACAAACACTGCTCACCTATGTGTTGAAATATAGCCTATAAAAGTTCCTCCTGAGGAGATAAATATGGTTAAATAACAGCATAATCCTACTTCAGATGCAATTATGCAGAATGGCAGAGACAGGAGGGACCTCAGACACCACGTAGTCCAATCTTTTCATTTTAAAGATGAAGAAACTGAGATTGAGGGGTGAAGTGATTGGTCCAAGGATCATGTGTTACTAGAGCTGAAAGAGACCTTAGTGATCATCTGAATTAATCCCTTCATGTTAGAGATGAAGAAACTGAGGCCCAGGGAGGTTAAACAACCTGCTGGGACTATTGAAAAAGTCTCTTACTAGGACTCCCATCTTCTAATCTTTTCCTGCTCTAATCCATCTTCACACAGAGGCCAAAAGAATCTTCCTAAAGCATGGGTATGACCATGTCACCCTCTCCTTCAAGAACCCTTGTTGGCTCCCTCTTGCCTCTAGGACAAAAAACATACTACTTAGCTTGGCATTTAAAACCCTTCACAGTCAGCCTCAAAACTACCTATCTGGACTTATTGCACATTATTCTCTGTTCCTGACTCTGAGCCCAGCACTCTGTCTACTGCACCACCTAGCTGCCCAATTCCCCTTCACATACTCTAGACGTCAGCCAAATTCGCCCACTTGTGACTCTCTAAATATGACATTGCTCTCCCACCTCCAAGGCTTTGTATAGGCTATTCCTATGCCGGGACTGTGCTGCCTTACTTCTACTCCTTAGAATCCTTACTTTCCTTCAAGGCTCAGCTAAGGTGCCATCTCCTTTGTGAAGCCTGTCTTGATCTCTGTCTCCCTGTCTCTGTCTCTCTCTGTCTCTAACTCTGTCCCTGTCTCTCTGTCTCTGTCTGTGTCTCTCTTTCTATCTCTCTCTCCATGTTTCTCTGTCTCTCCATCCCCCTCCACTCAAGTTATCATGTATATACTTACGTGTTTACATATTGCAACCCCACCATAGAATATAGATTTTGAAAGGAAAGATTGTTTTTGATTTTGTCTTTAGATCTCAAGTGTCAACATCAAAGCAGAATGATTTAATGGTTAGAAGCCTGACCTTGAAACCCAGAAAGAACTGAGTCAAAATCCTGCCTTTGACATACGCCTGGGCAGATCACTTAACCTCTCAGGGCTCTGGGCAACTAATATAAATAACAGAGAAAGTGCCGACCTGCCTAGGTAGAAGAAATTTCCTCATCTGAGAGTTTCCAATGCTAATGAAATCACAAATCCAGTCTCAAAGTCCCACAGCTGGATAAAAGTGAAGAGCTCAAGTCTTTTGACTCATTCAGGGCCCTTTGTACCCCACCAAATGTAGAGATAAGTAAGATTCATGGAGTACCTAAAATAGTTGTAGTCAGAGTTAACAATATCTGTAGCAAGAATAGGAATGAGCCCACTGAATGTCTGCTTTGGTTTCCTTCTCAGAGCAAGAGCGATAGCCCAGGATCATTCATTTACCTCACTCAGGTCACTCTGAATGCTGGGAGATTCAGTTATTCTTTGCCAGGGACATAGTTTTTATTTGGACAAATACTCTTTTCTGGGAAGTCTTTAAGAGAGTCGGAGTAATTAAGGATGCTCTCCCAGGCTAGATGGATGAGATTAGAGCTTCATCTCTCTATGGCAATAACCCAGAATCTGCATGTTAACAGATGGCAGAGTCAGGCGATTTTGTAAAATGTTCGGCAATCATGGGGATGCTGCTCATGGCGGCATGTTTTCCTGCCTGGTGCCTGCTGGCTTGCAGTTCAGGTGTCCAGGTTTTGTAATAGAAAATGGTGAGGCTTTAAAAAAAAATTCTGAAATAACCAATCACTTTGCGTTTTCCCCAATCTAACCCAGGGTGGGGGAGGAGGTAGGAAATACAGGTCTTCAAGTTAATTAGCATCAAAGAAAAAAGGTTCCATTCCTTTTGG